AAAGAGTTCGCCCCCCCCCCCCCCCCCCCACACACACACCAGTTTGTGGCATGTAGAACAGTTTTGTGTTTTCAACCGCACTGAGACTGACGTCTTTTCATTGGTCAACCGCTTAGCGCGGTCGATGCTAATAATAGAAAACACACACACACACAAGCACACCAGACGCGCACTCATGCCCGCTCTCATTGCACGAACAATTGCAAGACACATCGGACGAAGATATCCAATGAAGGGTACCAAGCTCACCAAAGAAAAACAAATGCAAACGCGAGGTAAACGGATACGGTTCGTTGTTGCAGCGTGGCGTAGCAAGCCCAGAACACTCACGTCATGCGTGAGATCTAGCTCGTCGGACAGCAGCTGCCACCGGTCGTGGCCGGCCTCCTCCACCATCCTCGGCAGAACCTTACTCCGGAAGTGGAACGCGCTGTAGTTGCTGAAGTTCTGTTCCGCCGAGGTGTGCAGGGGAGTCGGCGGCCGGGAAACAGGGGGGGGGGATGTGCAACGGTCCGAACAAGAAGTGAACTCGATGGCTGAACTGTTACCTTGCTCGAACAGCAATGAGCACTCACCAACACGAGGCAAGCAGCGCTTGCGTGTGTCGTCGGTCTCGCTACCCGTAGCGTCCTCGGACTGCTCGAGTTTTTGCTTACGGCAACGAGCCTGCCTGCCTGCGGTCTCCATCCTCACTTGCTTGATTTTGTCGGTGGTGAAGTCAAACTCTTCCCGCGCGGAGAGGCCCATCCGCTCCGCCACCCACATACGATGCGCCCAGCAGTGGAAATTTCTGCCGTCCAGCTCCAAGAACGTGGCGCACAGAGCCAGATCCCCCGCAAGCGCCGACCTTTCGCGAGTACCAAAACGGTGGCACGAATTTCACGGAGGCCGAACGTATTGGAAGTAAGCTGAGGCGGATAAAGGGGGGGGGGTCCCCGACGAAGATAGGCGGAGAGACGAACGAACAGCTGCAAGTGCGTGGCTAAGGCCGCGCTACTGAGCAAAGGAGCCTCGTCCGCCAAATCTGCACGAGTGACAAGACATTCTACATCGTTTCACTCTCTTCGGAATGGCCACACACGGCCGCACTGTTGCAGTGGAATTCGAGAGCTGGCGCCTCTCTTCCGTAGACGCCATCTCTCTCGCCTGACGAATCCGTCAAAAACCCACCCGTGCCAATTTCACACACAGGGATGCCCCCCCCCCCCCCCCC